CACAAGTCCGAACTTCCAGCTCCAATCTGCAAGTGACACCACAGTTGCACCCAGACACTTCTCCAAACGGAAAGAAGACTCCAGACTCCCGCTCACACACCCTGACCGGGACCGAAGCCTCGAAAAAAATGAACTCGGCCCTAAATCTTGAGCTTGCAGCCGCGTCGCCGGAACAATCACAGAACCCGGCGACATTTGTGAAAGCGAGCGCGAGTTGGCGGCGCTGCCCTTGGCGTAAGTGCCCAATTAAGAAACATGGCATGGGCAGTGCACAGCGCAGGGTCCGGATTTTCTCCTGTCCAAGATGGAACATCCGTTTGAGCTTGCGCGCGTGTGCATGTATTTGCTCGTGCTGAGTGTTTGTTTGCTTTTTTTGTTGTGTATTTGTGTTCGCGTGCTTGTGCGAGCATGCTTTTATGTGTTTGTGTGCTTGTGATTCTGTGTCTTTGTGTTTGTGTGTTTGTGCGTGAAAGTACAACACAACATACTAAGTTACGATATGGTACAATACGGCATTACAGAAGATCATGTATAATAACATCACACAACAGAATAGAATGCAATACAACATAGTATCCTGTACTATAACGCAAAACAACAGAATTGCAATACAGCGAAGAAGAATGGAATAGTATACTACAGAAAACAAAAACAGATCTAAGGTGTTACAGAAAAAGATGACCCGATATACAACAAAACAGCTTACTTTATATGAGGTAACAAAACATTATGTACTATCATGTCCTGTACTATGACATAGTACAATATGATACCACATAGTATAATGCAATATGGCGTAATATAATGCACATTGCTTGCATGCCGAGTATGTCCATTATGTCGCAACTACAAGTTCTGTGCGATGCCATCACAGGGGCGCTGCGTGCAAAGCGAAAGGACCTATCACACTACCTCACATTCCCTGGAAGAGGTTCCACAGCTCAAGAAACAAAAGCAGTTCATTTCAGCAGGCGAGTTTCGGCAGCACCATCTGACCAACTCTTGCGGGATGTGCGCGAAGCGACTTTCCTGACCGTGATGTTCGCGATGTCCTGCACTTCAAATGCCGGGTTGAGCACTCTCCCATAAGCGAGACTACTGGACGTTGCCCTACGGCGACAAGCCACCGAATGTGAGCAACTCTTTCTTCAACCCTCTCGACCAAGGGCCTGCAAGCCCCGGCTTTGCATGACCATTCAAACAACTAGTGCACGAGTGTAGGGGCCACAGTGCAGGGCTTGATCGAGCCCAAGGACCGAACTTTGAAACCTCGAAGCAACCAACGGCCAGACCCAAGCTGCTGAACCCACACCGAACGCAAACACTCGAGCATCCGGCAGCTCAGTTGGTATTAAGATTTCACGTGCGACAGCAAATGAAAGCCGATGTATGGAATGTCCAATGAATCGCGGTCCCGGAGCACGCGGCATCAGCGATGCGGTGGACTGCGGAAAGAACGCAATTTTGTCCAACAAAACTCCGTAGAACCGTCGCCTGACGCGTATGCCTCACGGGAACAGCGATGTAATAATTAGTTTGCTAAACAAACCTGGCAGACTAGCAGACGTCCCTCCTTGAGGATATTGGTCTCCAGGTCGTGCAAGCTCTGCACCGGTTCCTTCCCACTGCAGGGCTGTGGGCGCATTCGCTTCGTCTTGCTCTCTGGATCAATGATAAGGGGCTTAGAATGTTGGCTTATCGTGTGCTTAGGTGGTTGCTCTATGAGCTTGCTGACACGATGGCGGCCCAAACCTCATACCCTGAAACCCAATCAAGGCCACAACAGCTACAAAGAGAAATCTTTGACTTCTGGACTTTCTCTTCCCTTAACTTGCAACAGAGATGCTACTGTTGATGGCCTGCCCTCATGCCTGACCCTCGGCTCGGATGTGGGGCACAGTTCGGCCTTCCTAGCAAGCGGCTACAAGCGTTTCCTTTTGAACTCGGGGCCTGGATAGTGCCATCGCCACCCTCCACTCGCAAGAAACTGTGAATGAGGAGCAGCAGCTCAGGCCCAGAGTTACGTGCCCGGCCTTGTGGTGACCAACCGGTGTTTGCACCTACGAGGTGTAGGATTGCGTGAAGGGTAAAATAGGGTCCGGGTATGGGGTTTGGCACTCCCGAGTTGTGGAAGCAAACGAAGGAAATGAGGCTTCTAGTGATATCGAGAGACGCCGAGAGACCTGCGAGACTTCAACCAAGCACTGAACCGTCGACTCGAAGCCGTGAAACACAGGAGCCCTGTCTCCGAGACTTCTCTTACTGCAGCTAGGCCCTAGGCCCTAGGCCTGATTACTGCCAGAGCTCAGGATGCCCATGAAAACACGATGCAGACACTCGAAGAAACCAGTTAGATTGCACCTTCCAATATGCTACAAGGGCCTGATGGAAAGCCATGCCTTCGCAAGGCCAGGCCGACGTGCTCAGTGGCTTTTAAGAATTTAGATCCATGGAGCTAGCATGACCCTGCACTAGCTTCTACGAGCCCACAAATTCCAGGGCGTTCCCTGCGAAAATTTGGCTAAGCGGAAAAGTGCAAAGCCCATGCAGTGCGCCAGCAGAACGATGCACGGATGTGCGTATGTATGTGCATGTGCGTGCATATGAGTGCACGTGTAGTCGCGTATACACTATACACATATACAAGTCGCACATGTGGGTAGATATGCGTGGGATTGTGTCGGGGTTGTGCCAACAGCGTTGCATCGGGCCTGGTGGGGGGAGTCTCCGTGACTGTGCCGACTATGCCGGCTCAACCGCTTCGGAGGGTCCACCGACCTTGGCTTGGGACTCTTGAACTCCAGCGGTAGCCGCATGGCAGAGGTTGTGGCTGCTCAGTGCTTAGACTCGGGTCTTAAATGGCTGCATTTGGCTGAGGGCAGTGCGGAATTCCGGGTGTTGGGCAGCACATTTAGGTTTGAATGACGTAGTGCATGTGAGCGATGAAGACAAGGCCACAGTAAGAGGGGAAGGACGAGAGCGATTGATTAGAAGAAAACTGATGACACCATCAAGCAGACAAAACGTGGGCATCAAAAGCAGGCAAAACATGGGTATCGAAATGAGCGGCAACCATCAACATGACCACGACGATGACGAATCGCGCTAGTTGTTCAAACAACGAATACCCGTAGATGCAAAATCCTGAGCCCACCACATTCCCGAATCTCAACGAACATACCGATCCCTCAATCCCCCGCGGTGAGAACAATGATAGGCTCCCCGGATTGGGGAAATTCTTACGGAGGGCCTGGCCCTGCACTTGACTCAACATGTTCAGGCCCGGCACGTCTGAAACTGGACCAGTGTGGCATGCGAGCCTTGGCTTCAGGTCATACATGCAGGGTAGTCTTCAATGCAGAACATGGTCTTGCTAGCGCACGAGATGTCTTGCGACACTGCCCGGTGCCTATTATTTACTAACGGAAACTGTCTCCGGTGCCGACTTGTATAACTCCTTCTTGTATAACTCCTTCTTTCTAGACACAATGGAATGCAGAACGGGACCTTCGAACGGAACCGAGCAGCTTTCGGCGGGCACATGGCGCTCGCTCTTGCGCCTTCCTCCGAAGACGTTCTGCGACTGGATCCCTTGAATTGCCTAAGGATGCAGAGAGGGGTCAGATTTTGGCCTTGTACTGTCTACCACTTCAACTCCTTGAAGCATTTTGCAGACAGGGCACTACAAGAATTTGATCCTGAGCAGCACGATGTTGAGCAGACCACTCATCGAACTTGATCGTGAGGATATGCTCGAGCTTGCCTTGCTTGGGCTGCAGAATCTTGGCTGTCAAGTCTACACAGTTCCGAGCAGCCACCAAATCATCAGCTTCAAAGAAATCCAGAACCAACAAACCTCGCTCTTCCCCAAACCCGAACCGACCGAAGCCCCGAATGTGACCATGAGCCCTGGTTTGCAGGGTAGTGGGGACCGTGCATCGGGTTCCGACTGGCGTGTGCTTTTGCAGGGCTCTTGTCTGGTTGTGATGGTCCCGGCTGCAACAAAGCCAAGTCGCTCACGAAACGATTTTCCAAATGTGTGCTCAACACACACTCCAGCGCACGCTCGAAGTCTTTGTCATCCATGCCGGCTGAAGTATGACTTCCAAAGGTGCTTGTCGTCCTAGCTTGTCACTGAACACTTTGAGGGCAGATTGTGTCGAAGTTGCTACATCGGTGGGATCGCAACATGCCAAATGAGCACCTACAGGGCACCTTAGTGCAGTGGCAGGCCGCATGATCCCGAGTCGACTTCAAGCCCTGCACTTCCTCGACCAACTGCTGTAGGCAGCCAGAACGCTGCGGGGAGAGTCAGGCTGAACGCTCGATCATGTGAAGGAGGTTCATTATTGGCTCCCGCTAAATCTGGCTGTTTAATTATTGGTACCGCACTCTTAGTTCTCAGACAGGATTTGGGCTCAAGGGCTTTCTGCGGATTCAAGGTCAAGGTGCCATGACCAATCACGTAGAGCTTTTCCTGCATGAACTAAAGTAGATGCTCTTTAGGAAGGATTGAGAGTACACAACAAAACGAAGGAAGGAGCGAACGAACAAACGAACACAACACTTCGTAGCGGCGAATCCGCACACCCCCTAAGCCCTAACCGCGAAAACGTGAAGGGCCTGAACCCTGTGCGCCTCAACCGGCTCGGGGCATCCAGGGGCAACCGCACGCACTGCCGCCGGAGTGCGGAGCGTCAGTGTCGGAGTCCCTGCTTGCTTCGAGCTTGCGCAGTTAGGCCTTGAGGCTTCGTACTACTTTGAGGGTTCAGAGCAGTTGCTAGGGTTGCTAGAGCTGCAGCTGGCTGCCACAGCCAACCCTGATAATTGACCCAATGACCGCTACGCTGCACCACTGCCACCGCCAGACCACAACCATAACCACAACAACAACAACAACAAAGAAAAAGACTGTGTCTTTTTCTTTTGGCCGTTGAGCTTAAGCTCGCGTTTATTAGGTTGTTCAGTGAGCTTAGGGCTCGTGGCTGGGCAGCCCAAACCTAAAACCTGAACCCTTTCAAGCCATGGCCGCCCGTCACATGGGCGCCTTGGGAACATCCAACTTCGTTGCAGGCAAGCACGGACACATTGTAGTCCTCAACATGGCACGGGGCACGGGGTGCTGGGTCCGAGTACTCTCCCGCTTAACGTCTCGAGGAAGTTGCGGAGGTCTTCTCTCAGAGGACATCAAATCCGAGCACATCTTGCTCTCGGGAAAGGACCATCAACGTGAAAGCTGAGCTCCAAACGGTGTCTCCAAGCAACGGTGAGATCCAAAGCGACCTGTTTTGCAACTTCGATACCAGAATTTGCCCATGGGTGCCCGTTTAACACGGGCATTGCAAGCGTAGCCTTCATCAGACCTAGCTAAGGGAATGGAGCAGAAGAGCCCGGTTTCGGAACCGTGAGAAAGGTCGGACTATGTCGCTCAAACTCGCAAAGCGATGAAGCACCGGGGTTGAAGTGCGACGATCCATGTGATCCAAGGGGGCCACCCACGCATACAGACACAGAGCAACGAAAGCAGCTGACAACCATACTGCTGATAGTGGATCAACAAGCTAGCTCCGCCGGAAAGGGATCGTAAAGATGGCAGCACAATTCTGGAGGAAAGCGACGCTTAAAACCAAAAGCGCGGGAGTTGCGAGCCCTGTCAGAGCTCGCAGAGTTTCCCGAACAGTCCAAACACGACCCAGACCCCGACCCCTGCGTTCACTCTCTGGTAGCCCTAGGCAGCTGGCAAATCCGCTGTCTCAGCTGTGAAAGCAAAGCCCAGCGGGGACGACGCGGTGACCTGGCAAAGGTCCAAAACAACACTGCCTGGATCGAAAGAGCCTTACATCAATGTTGAACTTAGGGGAGAGGCTTCGGTTGGATGTTGGCTACGCGGGTGGGGCTCTCTTGTAGGGCTCAGCGCCCTCGGCGCCGCAATTCCTACGACCCCTTCCCAAACCCCTATGCAAGGCCTGATAGCTTTCCACGGGCCGTCCACCGGAGTCCTCCGGTCCCCTGCAGATCCCGGCAGCAATAGAGTTCGCGGTTCAGGGATATTAAGCATGACGATGATGACGATGATGATGATGATGGTGGTAGTGGTGATGGTCGTGATGGTGATGATCATAATGAGGATGATGGTGATGATGATGGTGGTGGTAGTGATGGCGATAGTCATAATGATGATTATGATGATGATGATGATGATGATGATGATTGTAGTACTTGTCCTTACTGCTAGTAATACTGTGCTCGCCACTGTGCTCCCTAAGGGCACACCTAATGATTTTTGAAACTGAAGATCAATGCGCTTTCACTTTGTATCCTTGATAGCGTCAGCTTTGGGCAACTTTCATCTTCACGAATTTCGCAAATTGAACGGTTGCCAAAAGGTTGTAATGGCAACAGAGAAACTTACACAAGTCTGGCCAAAACATTACGTGCATCAATCATAGGCACTATCCTAGCCAAACTGAGAAGCCTACAGAATCGAAGTCTCTCCCCAAGATCTTGCTAGCGGGTCTCTCTGGATATGTTCGGGCAATGGCTGCCTGGACGAGTCTGACCAGTTTAGGCATGTTTGCAGAGAACTGCCTCCACGACAGTTCGACCCGCCAAGCGAATGCCTGTCCAACTGCCTCGGATATGCCAGCGAATGCTTGGAGGACAGCTTCAGCTTTACCTTACACCCTTCACGGTTTTCGCTTTCGGGCTTTCCAGTTGCTAACTGCAGTAGAACCCAGCGACTGAACAAAACAGGCAATGAATTCTGGTCGCGTGTCAGAGTTCAAAAAAGCTTGCTACATGCAAGCTCTGTGTCCAATTGGACAACTGACGAACTCAAGGCTTAAGGGCATGATATGTAATATGTAACTGGCAAGGACGGAGAGCGAACCGTACTGGATACTTAGTTCGGCAAATTGTCTGCGCGAGCACACAAGGGCACCAAGACATGGTCCCAGTCTTACCTTGTTGCGCCCTGCGTCCCTTAGGTTTGGCTGCCGACGCTGTGTCAGGCATCCAAGCGGGTGCCAGGATTATAATTATAGCATGCATGAAAACACACAAGCCCACACCCGATGTTCATGTTTTTGAGTTGTATCTTGTGCCGAATTCAGAACCTGAAGAATTTGGCCCTTGCTCAGCGTTGCACCCTGAACCCGTCATAATCCTAAAAACACCCCGAGTGGCTGAAATGCCGCCCCTTGTTATCCGAGAGTACTGGTATCCCCAGTTCTACCTCAAGCCCCCAGCCTGCAATGACTTCCCTGGGCTCTGGAGCCCTCTCCCTATAGTGTCATCCTTCCATTCGTTCATTGCGGAATCTACTCTCCTGCATCTCAGACACAACGTCTTGCGGTGGGCTGGGCGGAACTGGCTGGCTGGTAGAATAAGCAGCACTGCTGGGTAGAGACCTGCAGGCGGCGATAGTACCAGTACTCTTCCGGTGCTCGCTTAACTCTCTCCCGCTTGCCGCGGGCTGACGTGTAGTCTGAAGTCTACCGGACTCCAGTTGATTGTAGCGGAATGCACATGGAGGACTGGCTACTTCCCGGCTTCATCGACATTATGGCTTGCGGATGGTGGCCTTGGCTCGGGGCTGGCTCAACCTGAACAATGCATGATAGCGCATGGCTGCCTCGCCTCCCGAGGTCGTTCCAAGCGACAATGCGAACGTAATACCTTCACAGCCGTGCAAAAAACGCTTGAATCAAGGACAGTGTACCGGACTGGGTACCCCGAGAAGGAGATCTGTGATCTGGAGGAGCACCTTAACCCTCGGGGTCCTCCAAAGCCCCAGCCTTGGGTCTTGGAGCCAACTTGATATCTGCTGATGCTGATACATGCCACTGGTGCTACCATTGGTGAAGAAACTGATGATGATGATGATGATGATGATGATGGCGGTGATGATGGTGATGATGGTGAAGCGCATAACTATCTTGATCACGACCAGAACACCGCAAGTAGGAGTACTAGTAGTCGGGGTCGTGGTCGTGGTCGCCGTCGCCGTCGCCGCCGATACCGCCGTGTAGTAGTAGTAGTAGTAGTAGTAGTAGTAGTAGGAGGAGTAGTAGCAGTAGTAGTAGTAGTAGTAGTAGTAGTCGTGGTGGTGGTGGTGGTAGTAGTAGTAGTTGTTGTTGCCA